AAACATATAAAGTTGTTCAAAGTTAATTTGAGTACAGCACCCGCGGAGTGGACTGTAATTGTAAATAAAAAATTCGATTATTATATTTTTTTTGTTCCCGCCTGATTTTCAACACAGTCTTATTTTTTGAATCCATTAGATGATAAAATCGTTAATAAATGGTTTTATAATATAAATATCGATTTAAAAAATTGTTTTCAAACGACATCGATTTTCACATCCCTAGTTAGAGCTAGTAAATGCATACAGAAATCGATCATTTCAGAAAGGGACCTATGGATTTACTCATATACAAAAGTTAAAACCTAATTTGTACACGTGGAGTTATTCCAACTTTACAACCAATCATTACAATCTGTCCAATTTTAAATGACGCTACCACAATTCTTATTACAATACAGTAAAGTCTATTTCAGTGGATTTATCGGTCAATTTAAATTAGCTGGTCAGTAAGTGGCGGCTTTCGACAAAAGCTGCAAATTTACCGGCGCCTGCGCATGTTATGTGGCGTCCACATTGGCACATTTATATGCATACTGCTTTGTTGTATTGTTGTCTTCAGTCGCTCTCAATTTTATCTGTATGAAAAATACTAATAAAAAAGGGTAAAATTAATGTTATTACATAATATATGTACAGATTTCTATGTTTTTCTTGTGAGTACGTATTTTTTGAGTTCATTGAAAATACCGACCAAGCTTCAGTGACCTTAAAATTAAAAAACATCCAATATCAAACACAACTGTGAAATGAGTCACTATTATTAAATTAAAATCTCATAAGCTTCTTATGTACCAATAAATATAAAACAATAAAGCCATGCAGCATGCGGTGGAGAAATTAATAGGAAACCACACAGAGGGTATTAGGCATTCCTGCTCTAAGCCGCAGTGTACAAACAAACAAAACGCATGCAACATCATAAATACTGACTTATAAAGCCTTCCCAACTTGAATGCCTAATTGAAAACTCCAATACATCCCCTAAAACATAAGCAGTAAAGTTCAATTTGTAATGGAGGTTACTTCTCAAAATGCTTGAATAAAATGGACGATTTGCAGAATGAGCCAATATCAAGATCTGCCTATTAACGCGAAGAGGTTAGGGCGTGGTTACACTGACGTGTTGATTACATCTTTTGGTACCGAAATTTGGTTCCGATTATACCGGACAACGTAAGCCCCACGGGTGCTGATGCTAATGAAATAATTTCGTACGTAGATAATTTAAGGACTGTTTAAGACGTCAAATTTTAAATTGGATGCGCGAAAAGGGATGCTTTAAAATAATAAATTAATCGTTTCTGTGAAGGCGCGAACTTAAGTGACTTCGGGTGAAGTAAATGAATTTTGAGTTGGCTTTTAAATTATGTTGTTTTTATTCAATGCATCAAAGGGTAGGCCTCTTTGTACTTAGGGTTTATTTTTAGGTTTCCCGTGTGAATATTGAGATGTTTAATGTGGTTCCACAGAGGTAGGGTCAAAGGTAAAAGAAACAGTAAAAGCTCAAATTACCAAATAAGCTTACGGTCTACGTGTTAGTAGTACGTAGAGAATTCCTTGATGCATTTTTATTTTATTTTTAAATTTATATTTTTTTTGTAACATTCTATTATATATCGCTCTTATGCTAGTCGCATATTTCATAAGTTTTCTTTCAAAAGATCTTAAAATCTATCACTTATCAAGTACATCAGATACTGTTGAAGGCAGCTTGTCTACCATTGTCTTACCATTTTTATAAACTTTATATTTTTGATATCTATTTATTAGATTATTAGATTTTATATGTCATTTTTGACTATTTGTTTGTTACTTTTCTTCTCGCTGAGAGCCCTTTTGGGAAAAATACACATTTTTTACTATTATTTGATTTTTAAATAAAATAGTAGTTGTGTTACCGCTCCAGCCACAGATACCTTCGCTTCAGCATACATGAATAACACCACAGATATCGCGTTAAGTAAAGCCCTTATGTGTTGCTGTACGGTGTATTGATTGATCTAAGGTGTCGTGCCTTCTTACCCTATAACTTCGCTGCCATAATTCACCCGTCCACTCGTCATAAAACCAGCTGCATGGTGGCTGAAATTTATATAAGCACATAAACCTTAGTATTTAAATATTTTATTATTAAATAACTTAAGTATATACTAAAGTTTCTTCATATATTATCTTATGTTATCATAGCCGAGGTTTTCTCACAAGACTACAGCATGAGGTGACCCAGCAATGCGCACGTGACCTCTGGTGTCTCAGACGTCCTTGGGTTACGGTAACCATCAGATGGGCCGATTATGCTTGTGGCAAACCATTGTAGTATAATATTTTTGCAATTTGCAAATAAAATCTATATTTGAGTAATACTCGATCTATGTACAATACTTTCTTAAAGTCCACCATCACCATCTTTTTCAATCATGTGAAAAATATTGAAGGTAATATTATTTTCATGTCTCTCTAATTGATTGATTGGCTAGCTACCATTAACTTTTGTTGTGATTAAAACTTCATTCCGTCCTCTTTACAAATGCCTAGTAAAGTGACACAAATGTAAAAAAAATACATAAGCAGTAATATCTTTTTAGAAGTCGGTTAAAAAGAAAAAGTTAATAAATACACATGTTTAAACGATGTTGTATATCTAAAAATAACAATACATCTAGCCAGTTCTACGGAATGTGGACAAAAAATTGAGGCGCTATGTGTGGAATGTGCAGAAAACAGACAAACAAGTTTGTGCCCTTTGTGTATCAACCTGGCAGAAAATAAATAAATAATTGGAAATCATTGGTGATAAATTACAACTGGAATACGTGTGTAATATACGTCGGAAGAAGGAAAAGGGATTGTTAGTGTTGTGGACTGTTGACTCTATTGCTAACAATCTACCACGTCGGGTACACCTCCACGAGGTTCAAGTTTTAAATTCGTAATGAGATTGTCACGATGAGATAACTGACTTGACTTTATATTCATCACATTCATCTTATCATCCTCCACTGGTGCCCACCAGTGGAGGATGATAAGATAACGCCAACATATATCGTTAGCGCAGGTGAGTGCACCATTCATATTCATATAAAGAAAAAAGATTAGTAAGTAAAACTATCATATTTGCCAAAGTGTCTCTGTCTTTATTATACGGATGAACTGGATCGAGTTACCGACATTTAATGTGAAGGTATATTGTTAGACTAGGTTGGTTTAAAGGGATATGAAAGTTTTGGTATATATTTCTGAATAGGTGTTATGTTATGATATGGGTACAAATATATGTTATACCTTGCATCGGAATCGTACCCGCGACCATCAGACACAAGACTAAACAGCCACGGGTCTACATTTCACAAAGTCAGAAAAAACTTTTTTTGCTTTTTTTTACCTTGTTAAACTAATTATTTTAAGTTTTATGGTGACAAATTATGGAGTCAAGTTAAATTGGATAAAATTAATTTATAATCTTTTCAGATTAATTGTCGTATTAATATGGCTCATTATTTAATATTATTTTATATATGATAATAATAAATCTTCAATAAAACTTAGCAATATTACAAATACCACCTGTTAGTTCACACCGGCGCCCCCGGGCGCCCCTCTGATCGATCCCCCGTCCAATTCAAACGGGGATCGAAATTACGACGGCCTGAGCCGAGGTTCGAACCCCTAGTGGTGCCCTCAGACTAATGTCGTATCCGTCAGGCAGGAGTTGGCCTTCAGCCGCTCCATAAGTCCTTCCGCGGGTTTGGAGTGCCATCTGCACTCGCCCCCTAACGTCCGGTGAAGCTGTAAAGGCCAGCTGCGGCCAACAGCATTAGAGTAGTCCGAAAAAAAAACCTGTTAGTCTAATTATTTTTATTTTGTCATTAATTATTGTAAAATTATTTAAATTATATATATTGTAACAAATTAGTAAAATCATAGTGAAATCAAATCTCAATCAAAATATTAAATTTACATCACAAATAACAAAATTATTTTTACAGTAAATTAAATTATATTTATCGCGCGTCTGTTTTTTATTACCTAACAATGTACCTGTATTATATAGTATATTAGACAATAGTAAATAATAAAGAAATTACAAAGGAATAATTGCAAAAGACAAAAGAAAACGAACAAAGTTGCATGCAAAATCTAGTGCCAAATACAATGATCTACAAATTATAATAAATTTATTTAACTATGACTCCATTTAAACTTTGTTCCCCGTAAGCTGTGGTGTACATTAAGAGCATTGCGATAAGTGAAATTACCAAGCAACTGGCAATAAAATATAATTATTAATATGCAAGAAACTGCGCAAGTGTTGAATGATCATCTTTATATTAAATCAATGATTTACAGGCTATAAACGCGGCTACTTCCAATCTAAGAGGTATAGACTATTAGATACGGCAAAGTGTCGACGTCGGTCGCGTGTAAGTCAAATATAGTATCCTTGATTTAGAACGGGTGACGGACTGTCCATTGTCACTGGTTATATTTAAAAGCGAATGCGCTTCTTGAATTCTGCGCGTGCGCATACCTTTTTTTTCTGCTAGGGCTTCGATTAATTATATGGCAGAAAAAACAGGATGACTTCGAAATGATTTTATTATTTATTCACGTTTATGCGTCCTGTTTTAAATGTAGTAGTTAATTAAATCATCAAAACAAATGATGCATAAATTTTAATAAAGCCACATACATACGGTAATTCGTTATTTCCATTCCATTTAACAACATAACAAAATTGCATAATTAAAACGAAACAGCCCGTAAAATGTAACATTAAATGGATAATAAAAAATACATTTCCGCATCCGAATAAGCCGATTAAAGCGCGTTCAAATTGCATTATCACTTTCACGAAATCGCCCATGAAATTAACATTTCGTGCGTTTGCAAAGCTCGATAATGTATCGAAGCCCGAACACACCCTCGTGCACTTTTTGTTTATTTGATAGCGGCGCCGATGCATCGCTAGCTTCCAACTGCACACGCATGATCCGAGCAGTCGCCTCGCGGCGCGTGCGACACGAACATTGCACCATTTATTGAAAGCTCGATTCTTTCGAGTGCGATTAATCGGTATCGTTTCCGGGCGGGCGGTGTGACCTCGCCCTAACATTCCATTTTCAAATTATATTCATTAATTTATAAAGTGACAGTTTCTATCGAATATTAATGGTGAACACCTTCAATTTTGGTGAGAAACAAGTGTATTAATGACATTTGTAATAAGAGCTATTATTTATTTAGCCAATGGATTGATTTGACATGACAATAGTGTTTCCTGATAGTTTCAAACCATTCATTCAGTGTAAATATATTTGACGTAAAGAATAATAGATAAGCTGGATAATAAAAGAGATCAGATAATATAATCATAAATAAAAAATGCAACCTTCCACTTGCTGGATGGAGTGCATAATTTAGAAATAAACACATGCCCCTGATTTCGGTTTCAAATTCGAATCCATTTTTCACAATCGCATTGAATTTCAAATATGTCCTTATAAACGTTGGATGGTTTTATTTTTGTGGACTATTTCCCGGTGGACGCGAGTCGAGGTGGTTTTGTGGTGCCTATTGTTGTCTCAACTGCACATTACAAAACAAGGCAATGGGGTAAGAGATTTTGTAAATTATGAAAAAAGGACACGACATTTTGAAAAAATAATTTTGTCATTATATTAATCGTATGAAAAATTTAAAAAGTTCTGAAAAATAAATGAAAGGGTTACAATTATTTTTTCAATTTGTCGTATTCTGATTGTCATTAAAAGAATGTCGGATAATCTTTAAATGCGTCAAAATAGAAAATATAACTAAGTGGATAATTTAATTAAAATAATTGTGTAATTAAATAACTCATCACTTTTTTAAAGAAGAAATATTTCAAATAATTGTTTAGTTTTTTATTTGATATTATTTTAATTCTGTATTTATTAATTGTGTATCAATTAACATCATTTCTACCACCTATATTATTTTCTATTAATAATTTAGGAAGACAAAACAAACATAAAGAAACCTTTCTATCACTAACATGTGTAAAGTACTGCATTTTTTAAAGTTTTAGGAATAATCAATGATATCTTTACCGGTAACAGATTTTATTTGCATTATTTATTACTGACCGTAGACTTACTAAATTTGTGTTATCAAACCAGTAGTAGAGTAGTATGAGTGTGTTGCACAGATTTGATTAGAAAAGACATTAAGAGAGTCAGAGCCATTCTTCACATACTACGTATAAGAAAGGAGTCTTCTAGTAAGGATAGATATAAGAACAAAGTTACATATAATTTATTTTAGTTACAACGCGACTTAGGTTCATAAGTTTTCAATATGTATTTGTCTATATTATTGAAAAAAGTATTAGTAATATACCGTCAAACGTTCTAGCACCTAGAAATATCGATAACTAAGTTAATCCGATATATTGCAATAAACTCATTAATTGCAATTAACTCAACATTAAAATAATTGTTAAATTTAAATGGTCATATCAAACGTAACACTTATCATAACATAATTATGTTTCTGCCTACACAAACTAGATAAATAGTCGTGAACTACACCGATATGACAGTATCACGGATATAACCAAGGTATTTTTTATGGGTGATATGGAATTATGCACCCTCCTGCGCCAATGTTTCACCACGAGAGGATCATAAAATGAGCATGGAGTCAGGACAATTAGCCCATCTTGGCAAATGACAATTTACCACTATGGTTTCCGTATAGGTCACCCTGACATGGTACATTCCAGCAATAGGGTTATTAGTCTACATTACTAACAATCCCCTTCCTCCCATTACTAATGTGTTACGCCTGAGTGAAATAGGATTCATTAGACCATAATGACAAATAAATCAAGAGGACGCCAACCACGATGATTCCCTAGGGGGAAAGTAGAAGGGCTTAGCTGTTAGGGTATAGTATTATAAGAATATGTGGAGAATAGTCCACATATTACTTATGTATGGACATTCTCACCCAGACAGCAAAAACCTCAGGCAGTAATTTATACTCAACTAGTAGTAACATGCCACTTCGCCTGCACATACATACTTTTATTCCATAATTCAAACTGAAGTAACTACCTATCGGTAGGACAAGGTCACCTATACTATAAAACTGGGATTTATAGAGAACATAATATAAAATAATATCAAAAATTATATGAAATTTACCATTCAATTATTTAAAATTGAAATTAAAGAGATCGCTAATGGGACTAAACATTTTACGAGTTAATTTTTCGAGATGACTTCTTATACTAATGGACAACGCATTTGAAGTTGTTATTGTAATATCAAAGAGATTAATGAAGTGTCCTTGGAGTGCCCTATATACAGAATATAATTAATAAATTACAATTACTTCACCCACCAAGTAGCTTGCTTTGTAATCCGTGCTTTGGTTGAAGGCAGAGATAAGGCAGTGAAGTTACAGTGTAAGAGGCATAACGTCTTGGTTTTCCGGAATGACCACGCATGTGTGGTATCACGGGCGTCACGTGATAACGTGATATCCGTAGTGCCGTTCGTGTATATAGATGATGGGAACGACTAGTCATTAGGCGGGGTGTCAGTTTATTTGTTATTCTAATGAAAATAAAAAAAAACAACTATGACTGTTTGCTTTCTTTTGATGTTTTACGCTATCCAAGAAAGTACAAGAATTTGAAAGAAATATGTAAAATATTCTAATTATAACATACCGTTATGACTATTATCCCAGATGAGTCAGAATCATTATCATCTGCCAATGTTGTGGAGAAAGCAACACTTAACTTGCCCACATGTCGCTGAATATATTTGAATAGATATTTTAATAAACATAATTAAAATTGAAGATGGAAGAATAATATTACATCAAAGTTACTTAAGGAGGGGATTAAATTATTGTCTATAATATTTGTTACTTCAGTAACGTGATGTTATTTATGTGATTGCTAAATCTAACCCTCCAATAAGGGCTTTATCTGACAGAACTCAGTCGCACATCAGCCGACAATCCGGGTCGACTGCATACAGGATACCAATTAAAACGTTTTCAATCGTGAGCTTATTGTAATATAGATTGATCAATAACATAACCCCACGTAATTCGATGACAAAAGACACGGAAACCCCACAGTTTCTATCATAATCATGTCACATAATACGGCGATGTGACAAAAAGTAAACTAGGTACTTGTAGCAAACACCGGTTTGTAATACACACTTTGGTCTAATCCGCAAAAGGATTAACACAAAAGTTCTCAAACTTTCACATTACTGTTTAATTTTTTTAAATAAATGCAGATATTTTAATGTTAGGGAAAAATGTGAAAGCGTGAGGTTATGTTAGTCCATCCATCCAGTCCTTGATATTCCGAGGGTTTTAATATTCTTCAGCTCGTATTAGAATCCAGGGCACGTGTTAGCATTAATTCACTCGTTAAATACTTTATTTCATCACTACTTTTAATTATATGTTAGGAAAATTGCGCGCGTGTAGAGCCGTAAGGTGTGGTCTTTTTTTTATTATATTTTAGGCGTATTTTTATATGAATGATAAAATGACAAATGCCTTCGCTAACGGTATATCCTGGCAGGACATCTGTGAAAGATGATTAGTATGAGTTACGAATTCCCTATGAGGTAGCCAAGACTGGACTGCGTAGAAATCGAGCTTATATCGTACAATACAAGCAATGTCGTCAATGGTGTTATTACTCATAATCCCTGCCATCTTAAACAAAGTGCCGGGCCCTAGTAGTTTAGTACGCTCAAATACATCAAAATATGGAGAATCTGGTTGATACTAAGAAACATGTTTGTCTGTTTAAATTTATGACAAAGTTTGTAACAAAAATGATATTAAAATTATTAGCATTACTCGAGATATCAGAAAATTCGTAAGATAGCGGTAGACTAACTCCTTGCAACAGAAATGTACGCATGTCTATTATTTAATGTATATAATTGACATAGACCCTAGACAACTGACATGGAGCTTAGGTTATGGATACTGAATCACCACTATAAACACATTTTTTTGTAAATACATACATATGTATAAACATTAATATAAACTATCATACACATATATATAGTTTTTTTTAAGTATGATAATGGAATTATGCATCCGCCTGCGCTAACGGTTTACGCTGACGGTGCACCAGTGGAGGATAATACGAACATGAGGTCAGGTCGGTTAGCCCATCACGACAAATTGACCAGGAATTTACCACCATGGTAGATCAACATGACATGATGCATTGCTAGTAATGAGGTCATTAGTTCACATCATTAAGAAACCCTTTTCCTTTACATATACATAGTACAACCAACACAGTACCGATGGGTGCGGGTTCGATTCTCGCATGCAACATTTGTAGTCATAAGCTTAATTGTTTGTATAGTTTTGGGTATTTCTATCAGTTGTTTAGTTATTTTACAAGCTCTGGTTGGTTTGGAGCTAGATGGCTTGTTCTATTTGTCTTAAATTATAATTATAATACTAGTACCAAATGACTGATTGAAACGCAATATCATAGTGCAATAACTCTTTTGTTCAGGACTGTTTACATAGATATATCATATAGATATCTAAACTAATATTATAACAGAATACAGATATTTTTTCTTTTTTTAACACCTTAGGCGCTATGTGTATCTTTTTGTTACACAGTGTCTGGAACACTGTGTATTCAAAAGTATACACATCTTTGTACTTAGTAAACGCGCCGTGTATCCTTTAGGAACTACGTTCTCTATACATCTATTACACAAATAAAAGCCCTCGCCATTTACATGGTCTGGGAATGGGAGATTTTACAAAAAATTGTGTTTTTTTTAAACGGTCACTTAGGGTCTGGCGCTGAGGGTGTTAAATGACATAAAAATGTATCTTCAATAGTAAGGTACATGATCAGACAGTAATATGGGTTGTATTTTGTTTAAAAAAAATCTCCAAACAATGTATATGCTATGTTAATATACTTGATTTGATAGTTTAATTTTATTTTTTTTAATTGTGTCATAGTGTCGTGTATGTATGACTATTAGTCGCAAAGCGAAATTTATTATTTTTAGGCTTGATATGCGATTTATTTTTCTATATATGTAACATACTCATAAAAACAACAGTCCTTTGAAGTTATGGTACCATTCTTTCAATTGTCAAATAAAGGATTCAATGGTCATCAGTTCAATTTATAACATGACACATACACAGATATTAAAGGTTCTATTTGGTGGTACTGATGTGGGTAATTCCTGTTTATTATATATGTATTTACAAATAAAATGTGCTGAATTAACACTCTCAATTATTTAGAATATGTATTACTTACAGGTTCTGTTTACTTTGGAACTAGATGGCGCTATGTGATAAATTCAGGACTATTATAATATTATATTTGATCAATTTTGTTAGATATACTATGGGAAATCGGCCCCTATTTTGAAATAGTCCCATAAAAATTTATCAGTAGTGTTTGAGTTATCTTTAATAATGCGTTTAAAGTTGATTTCTTCCTGTCCACGTATAATTATTACAGATTTAGAACGCATGCGAAACCAGGTCACGTTGCTAGTTTTAAATTAAACATAAACAAATGCCAGCAA